GGTGGCGCAACCGCTACCTGTCTTTTTAAAGGCTCCCGCCGAAGACAACGAAGGTTCTCATGCAGCATCAAAACAAACTCTTTATTCTTGCTGCCTCCCCCCTCCCCATCGCACCATTCCCTGCACCTGCCACGAAATGTTTTCTTTTGAAGACTTCTTCCTAACACCACGAAGGTTCCCACGAGTGGACTTTAGGCTTAAAGATTTCTCAACCCAACGGGTGCTCAATTTTTTTTGGATGAGCCAACAGCCTCACGCCGAAACCAACCTGCATTCGAACCACTCCGGTACCAAAAGCCTTCAGCCCTCCTTTGTACCCCCCCTTCTTGAGCCCCCCTCCGTGCGCCCCCCAGAATCCATTTTCAACAGTGCGCGGACATTGCAGTTTCGGCAGTTGCGTTGTCAAGTTGCCAGGCTGGCACAAATGGTTGCGCGGAAGGAAATGTCTTCGCCACCTGGCTGCACATGATTCCGGACACGGAATGCGTCTCTGGTCTTGCCTGATGTGATCCTGTCCGGACATTGCAGTCTGTGGCTTTCCTGTGATCCATCTTGTGTCTGGGTGCGAGCCTTAGCTCGGGTCCAGCGCAGGCAAGCGCTCATTCTGGTGCACTGTGAGGTGCATACATAGATGCATTCCATGAGCTAAGGGAGTGACGTCGCACTCTTCCTCCCGTCAGATTTTGACAGGATGGGGACAGCCGCGTGCGTGAGCTGCCAGCTGCAAAGTGTCAGTGAACTTTTGGGCTCAACTTTTGCGTCTGCTCACAGCTGCAACAACTCAGCCTTCCCCAAAATTTACGAATTGTTGAGCAAGAAACCTTTCTTCTCAAATGCACCTCGCTGCAAGAAGTCTGCTTCCCACCATCCCTGCTCACATTGAGGCGTGCTTTTGCAGGCTGCACGAGTTCGTGAAAATGCCCGTCCTCACCTCGTCTTGAACCCCTGGTCCGCAAGTTTGAGCCGGTCTGACCCTTCAAATAGTCACCTCTTGGGAATCTTTAGATGAGCAACTTGCAGAGTTGATCTGCTGGAGAACCACTCCGTGACACCAAAACCGCCTCCAACTATGATGAAATGGTTCAACTACATGATCCCCGAGTATTGGACATCCTTCGAGTGGTACTTTCCCTGGAAGCCGACTCAGACCAAGGCCGGCCTCTTTGGCCACATTCAAGCCAAGCCTTTCGAGATTCACTTCAAAATCTATTTGAACATTTCGGCCTAGAAAGTTTCAAATTTAGAGGCCACAGCCTGCGCCGTGGCGGTGCGTCGTACGACTTCGATACTTATCGCAATCTGGAGAGAACTCTTCTACGCGGCAGGTGGCAGAGCACCCGGGTAGCCCGGATTTACATCACGGACGCTCTCGCCCGCTTGACCCAGATGACGCTCTCTGATACACAGTATTTCCGTCTTAAGCGATATGCCACTATCTGCGGTGTCTCTGATTCTTAATTTCCTTTTTCTCCTTTCTCTCGCCTCCAAGGGTGCAAGTTGGTTCCACCCACCTCATGGGACCCAAGGAAACGTGGAAAGGCCTGAATTCCCCAGAGTTTGATCGACCAAACTGATTTAACTTGACTTCAAATTTGATTCAAATGTTGATTCCCAGAACTTCAAAGTTCAAAGAAGATCCAAGTTGGATGCCTCTTCCAACTCGACACACTGGATCCGAGATATGTCCCTGCCATTGGGACTCTAGTTGAGCGCTGTTGCCAAGCAACAGCAAAAACTCTCACGACACGGCAAGAAAAAGGGCACAGCGAACATGAAGACAATTTAGTCTATAGAGACGGGTTGTCTGAATGAGTTGTGTCCGTTGCTGTATTGGTTTACCAGTTGGGTTCGGCCACCCTTCAAAGTCCCTCCCTGTTCACTTGGGGCTGAAGCCTGCTTGTGAAAGGGCTGCGGTTGAAGCGGTATCCCTGCCATTGGGAAAGGCCTGAATTCCCCAGAGTTTGATCGACCAAACTGATTTAACTTGACTTCAAATTTGATTCAAATGTTGATTCCCAGAACTTCAAAGTTCAAAGAAGATCCAGGTTGGATGCCTCTTCCAACTCGACACACTGGATCCGAGATATGTCCCTGCCATTGGGACTCTAGTTGAGCGCTGTTGCCAAGCAACAGCAAAAACTCTCACGACACGGCAAGAAAAAGGGCACAGCGAACATGAAGACAAACCAATGGTAGTTTCTGAACAAGACGCTGACCAAATGTTTGTTTACACGGATGCGGCCTATGAGATACTTGACAAGACAGGCAGCATTGGAGCCGTACTTGTTGATACAGAAGGCAACTGTGTTGAATCGTTTGGTTTCGGTTTCAAGCTCGATGCAGCTGGAACTGGCAGCACAATTGCTAGCGCTTGCATTCTGGGATAGATTTCTCTCAAACAATTTGGTGACTTGGTTCGGAGATAATGACAGTGCACGTTTTGCTTTGATTCGTGCTGCCTCGTCTGGTCGCTGGGCAGAGGCTCTTTTGTGCCACCACTTGAATTCGGAAGTTGACTCAAACACGAAAGCTTGATTCGCTCGGGTGCCGACAGAAGCTAACTTGACTTCCAGGCTTTGCCCGCAGCCTCTTTTAGTTGAAACTGCTGAGAGGTCGATGCTTGCTCGTGAATGCTTTGAGTCCTTAATGGTGTTTTTTGATTGCTTTTGTGGAATGCTCGAACAATCCCCCATTGTAAAAAGAGGAGCGACTTGAGCTTCAGCTGCAGCTTTGCAAGGATGACACCAAACTGTTGAGAGACGACCTGTTTCATCGAAGATGATGATAAGGTAGTCACTTTGTAATTTTACAGTAGGGAATGTTATTCTCGGGTGTTTTGAGATCTTTAAACGCACAGATTTGATATCAAGGGATGGTTGAGGTGGGTGCCATTTGACCACGGTGGCCATGGAGTGTTGATAGACAACAAGCTTCACACGATTCCGGCAAGAAATAATAGAAACGAGTGAGTGCCTTGAAATATTCTTGTCAGAGTGAGGGTGCATGAACATATGTAGCTTTGATTTTTAATACTGTAATGTGAATAAGCGCGTCCTGCTTTCTGCGTAAATCAATGAATGCCTTTTTAGAACCCTTGAAGGCACTAAAATATTGAAATTTGACAATATGCGTGCTAGGACTAGGAGAGCTGTGTGAAGCTACAGGTTCCGAGGGGTAACAGAAGTTAAGCGTGGCCCCTGCATGCAAAGGGCAGTTGGAACACTGTAGAATTTGTACTTATCAGTGTGACAACCAATGCAAGTGGCTCAATATCAGGCTTATGAAAAAACAATATAGAAAACTGCTAAATAGGTATTGGATTTGGGCACTATGCAGCATGTTTGCATGTGCCGGGCGTGATGTTGGTCTTGGTGGGACTTTGGTTGCTTTGGTCTCTTGTTAGTGCTGGTGTTGTTTGGGTTGCTGAATGGTTTGGAATGCTTTTTCATTTCAATATGTTTGTGTTGCCTGGTTTGGGCACTCGGCCCAACAAGAAACGCGCGTGTTCACACTAAGAAAGCAACTTGTTTGTAACAATTGAAGAAGGCTGGCAATTGCTGGCAGAACTTGAGTACTTACTTTGTGTTGGTATGAATTGTTCACCAACTAATCCATAACACGAAACTAGGTGACGCGACACAGTGCGTTTGTGGTCACGTTCATTCTACCTTGTTGGTGCGCTAGAACAAGAAGAAAACCATCGGTTGCCCTCAATAGACATTTGACATTCAGGTGCCCCAGGCGACAGTTTGCAGCACACTCAAGTGATAGACATTCCTAGTAGCGATGGCCTCCAACCTAATAGCGCCCGAAATAGGGTGTATGCCTCTTGAAAACTATCATTCAAGTGCCCCAGGTGACAGATTGCAGCACTGCAAGTGCGCAAGTGCCTGCAGTAGTGAACATGCTAATGCAGGCGGATTGTTTGCGAGTTGGCTTTGCAATCTGCATTCAAAGCTCTGGCAACGATATGTGCCACTAACTAGTTCGCGCAGCTGTAACTTTGTAAGGGTTGGTGTTTGCCTGGAAGAACAGGATTTTACACATTGCGAGGAAAAACTTGAAGTCCAAAGGCGAGTTGAGTGATCAAAATTCAGACATCTGGTTCAACCATGTTTAATTGTTTAATTGTGATATTGCCAGTATGTGCCAGTGTCCAACAAAAGTGCATTGGTCGTAAGGGGCCGGATGTTAACTTTGATTGTAAAGGAGGATAAATGTGAAACGTTGGCATTTTGGCTTGGCAGAATTTTGACCTTTCAATTCCTGCCTGTCATTTAGCAGTCATGGAGAAGGCCACTGCTCTGATCAAGGCTGCCAACATGTCCAATGGTCATTTTTTCCAGTGAACTTGATGATGACATCTGAAGCCTCAAACGTAGAGTTTTAGACCAGTCTATATATAGCTAAATGGAAATGGCAGTGTTCAGTGAAACCAAAACATAGCCCAACTGCCAGGCCCTACCATCGTCCAAGGTGAGACGAGGGAAACCTGTTTTTCAGAGAACAGCATGTGCCAGCATTTGTGGGAGATCAACGCAACAATGTCAAACAGGAAACACGAGGTTTGAGTAGAAGCGTTTTCTGTTTGCAGGTGTTTAACTCCTTGGATTCAGCATCTGCTGCTGCGGGTGCGGCCGAGGACCAGCACTTCTTGCCAATTTTGTCATCGAATCACAATCTCAGTCGGCCAACTGGAAAACCTTGCAGGAGGGAAACAAGTGCTGGACTGTGCTGCAGCTGGGCAAGTCAAGCTTGTCTGAGGCTCCTAGACAGATCTCACACATCTGACAATCTCACGTGAGACAAGTGAAAGAATTGTTTTCTATCAACTTGTGTACATGCCGGTAGACTATTCGCGAAGACTCTCCGCAAAGAAAGCTCTACCCCAGCCCCCTGTGGGTCAGACGTTTAGATGAAACTAAAAAACACAACTGGAAACTAATAAACATCCTGGATGCTGGGCCGACCACTTGCTGGGAACTCCAAAGGCTAGTGGCATGTGCTTGTCATATTTCCAGGTGCACTCAGCTCTGCAGCAAGGATGCGGCCAATTGGCCGTGCTGTTGGTGGCCAGTCAAAGTCCTGTGTCTCAGCTGGAGGTGCAGAAGGGCAACTGATATGGGTGATGTGGGAGGTTATACATATATATATATATATTATATATAATGTGTATATAAATATAGATACATACACATGAATATGCTTCAGTACTGCACAGCAGCTCCTCTTGCAAGTGCCTCCCCTGGGAAGGTTTTGCGAGCGATGGAATACGGCGGGGTGTATGTTGCTTCGGCCGAGCTGGAGAATCCAGGCATCTCCTATCCCAAGTGCTCTTTATTTGGTTGTCAAAGTTCTGCCAGGAGAATGCCTGAAGGAAGCTGCGAGCTACACTGCCGGCCCTTCGTTGGTTTTGCTTGCGGAAGCAGCTGCAATCAAGGCCCTTCTTCTGTAGAGAACAGCTTGTTTGACCCAGTTTTCTTTTCCAGGGAGACGAGCGCTGGACTGCCTTCAGGTGGCCTAGCCAATTTAAGTTGCAAGCCTTTAACCTGACGAGATGTTAGCTCTGATCCTTTTTTCCCATCCTTCATTATGCAACAACCTCTACTCAAGCTAGCAGTTTGACCGTGTTGAGTTTATGCTGCTAAGATATGATCCTCGCAGAGAGGATGCAGGTGGGAGCAGAGCTCGCAAGCAGTTCTTAGCAATCGTTTTTACTCAGTTCCGAATGTCCAATTCGATCGCTATAGCAGGTGGCTGCGCTTTTGTCACTGACAGTAGCCGTGTGCGTGAAGAGATTCAGGCACAATTATTGGCTGACTAAGAGCTTGGAAATCGAGGCAGAAATGATCAGCCAACTGCTAATCACACACACTTGAGGGCTTCCTGTCGCGGGAGAGCTTGCTGACGCTCATTGCCAAGAAGCATTTGGCTTAGCAAACAATTTGTGTGTTCATTCCAATTCGCTCGTGAATGCTTCCGAACAAGTTTCAATTGCCCCCTTGCTACAACATCTGCAGCGGTTTCTTTGCTCCATCGGGGTTATGCTATTCAGGTTTGCACTGTGTGATTTAAACAGCGTTTTCGGGGTCTCGACTGAGTCTACAGGTCTTTGCCATCCGCCAATGCGGGGGAAGCAGAGGGTGGAGCATTGAGTGAAGGTTTGGCCGCCGCTTCCAAGACGGTCCTGGCCTCATGAAGCAGTACGCAGTTGATTGCTTCGCATCTCCGATCGTGATGGAGACACTTGCAGAAGCAAAGCATTGCAGCTCTTACACTCTTACACAAGGTCACTGTGCTTTATTCGTCGGACACTGGACATGCGGAAGAATGTGCCAAAGCTGTTGCGTGCCTTGGACCAATGTTCATAACAAGAGCATAATAGGAATGTAGTGCATGTGACAGGTGTATCAGCAGGCACCATTTGATACATGTATTGGACAGCTCAATGTGCACTTAGACGACAATGCCGCAATGGTGGTTATGCTGGCAGTGCAGCTGGGCTGCATGAGTTTGGCTCCTGTTTTGGGAAGAGAGTCAACTTTCAACGAAAAGCATCGCGGTGATAGCGCTACTGGCTCCTGGCCTTACTACTAGGAACAAGAAGCTACTAGGGGCTCCTGGCCTTACTACTAGGAGCAAGGACGCAACTAGGACGCTATATCAATTCGACCTTAAAAGATCAGTTGAGTCCATCAGGCCGTCCGCTGCGGCACTATGGACTCCTTCGATGTTGGAGCTTTGGCTTCTGAGCCCCTGGTTGTTTTCTGCGTGGCCACCGCAGGTAAAGGAAGCTAAGCTGCAGAAAAGGCACAGGGTCACAGAACCTGCCGCCCTGTACTTTTACCAGTAGGGAGTCCGGAGGATTGTTGGGGTGGAACATTACCCCGTAGGACATCGGGGACGGGACGTTTACCGTTCCTTTTGCCCATCAAGCCAGGATCCCCAAACCATGTTAGATGGCATGTTGACACGGCCAAAGTCTTGTGAGGCGAATTCTGCGGCAACGGTCGAAACTTTTTCCAGAAGTTGAGCGACCGCAGTGATCTTGCACTGAGTGATCGGAGCTGAGTTCTTTTCGTAACTCCAATATTGGCACAATCTGTTGGTGCACCGAAGTGCACTGCAAGGATCTCAAGTACTGCATTTTTGGCCTTGGAGATTCTCACTACTGGGGCAAGGGCACTGAGGAACTGAACGCAAATCATTGTTTGGCAGGGTTTTGTTGGTGTCTCTCACTTCTTGTTGGGCCCCTGTATTGCAGGAGTCCAAGTTCAACTTTGCCAAGCCGGCACGCGACTTGGACAACCTCTTGGAAAAGATGGGGGCCCAACGCATGATGCCGACGGGCTTTGGAGATGATCAGGACACGTTTTCTAGACTTCTTCGATTCAAAGAAATCCTCTGGAAAATCAACCGTGGAGGACGTGGACCAATATCACACCGGATTTGCCGAGTGGAAAGGTCAGCTGTTCTCCCGCCTTGGTGTCGACAAGGCGATGGCTTGGATTGTTGACAAAGAAGGAATGCTTAAACGGCATATTTCAGCTGTGTCTCTCACAGGCAGATGCAGCGGGAGGCAGTGATGATGGGCCAGTGAAGACTGATGAGCAGATCAAGGCATCAGCCAGATCTGAGAAATACAGGAAGCAACAAGAGAAAACAGAGTAAATATGGCCACTTGAAACTTATTGAAAAGGGGTCCTTGTTCTTCTTCTTTTTCTTTTTTCAGTCCAACGGTCCATGTGAAATCCTCAGGTGGAGACCAAGCAGCTTCGAGGAAGCATGAAGGTGTCAAGACCTGCAGACCGACTCCAAACGGTGAAGCTGGAATGAGCTGTGCACCCTTCCAGGAGAGCTTGGATGATATCACCACTGGTCAGATTCCCTTCCAGGCAAGTTTTTCTAGACTTTTGGCTGCTAGTTCTCCGGTTGTGAAAGAAGCATGTTTTGACACCTGCATCAGGACACTAAGCTGATCAAGTCCCATGGCAGCTACCAGCAGGTGCACTTGCAGAATTAGCTTTGCATTGAGTTTGCGGGGGAATGGCTTGGGACAGTCCTATGAGCCTTGCCAGGATGATCGCGATTTGCGTGAAGAGCGACAGAAGATGGGCGTGGAGAATGCCGCTCCAAAGCATTGGCACTGTAGTCCGAATATGTTTCTCTTCTCCTCGTGTCTGAGCAACATGGAGGTTGCAACCGGTTTAGTTTAGTTTGACAGATTGAATATAGGGCGTTTCCTGCATTTGTCAAATTCTGCCCTCCCTGGCTGATTTGATTGAGGCCTTCAGCTTCATGATTCGTGCTCTGGCCAATCACAGCAAATGTTTTGACCAATGCTTCATGATTCTAAATGCAAACTCGGCATTGTACGCTGAAAGCTGTTGTGTACACCTAACTGCCACCTTACCAATGTTCCTGGGAATCCAAGGTGTGCGTTTGCCCGGTGGTTTCTGCACTGCTGAGCAATGGATTGCCATGGATGTCCCTTGTATGACACATTCCCTTGGAGTCGGTAAGACACGACGCCACCTTTTTCTCTCAAGGACATTTGCCAAAACTTTGCGAACGGCACCTTGAAGATCACCACTCGTCAGACGTGGCAAGTTCATGGAGTCTTGAAGAGGGATGTTTGGGCCTAAGAAATGATGAGGGAATGCATTCCAAAAGTGGTTTCATAACATGTAAGAAAACTCAATCAAGACGTAATGAGAAGATGAATGAAAGCATGATTCGTTGATCCAAACTTTTCGGACAGTTGCTGTGCTTGGGGCCTTTGTGCTGACTCCATTGGCAACTCCAAATGGGTCGGTCTCGTAAGTTTCTACAGCTGGGCAGCCATGAAAACGGCCGCCACGGTTGTACATCGAGCCATACTTGCACGTGGTTTTGAACCCAAGGTCAAGAACACCATGAGGGCGATGAACAAGGCAGCTGCAGAATGTGGGCTTGCTAGGGGAGAAACTTTTGTACGCTCAGCATGGACCGTCAGGCTTGCATGGATACCGTGGCTGCTTGCGGAGATGTTTGCCGGAATGTACTGTGCACATCACGTCCTGATGTTTGTGACTCGACAACAGCTGGAGGTTGTGCAAGATGCAAAGCACCTCCCCCGTGCAAGGTCTCTGACAGTTTTTCAACCATGCCCAGACAGATGTGAGGCAGCAAAGAGCTCCACAAGGAGATCTTGCACTACACCTATGACATCCATGATCATTGCCTGCCACGTTTCTTGGCGCGATGGCTTTTGAGGGTAGAACAAGCTGAATGTGATGGTGCCAAAGATGTGTTCTCTCAAGATGTTTAAGGCAGATTCAATGGCACAAAAGCGATACCTTTGTGAGAAAAGACAAGATGTTTAAAGACGAACAATGAAGCGAGCAAGTGTGAAAATGAAAGTGAACAGAGACTAGGGACTGTGAACAGAGCCCAGTTTTGTAGCCTGCGCGGGAGTAAAGTTGTTCGACTTAGCTAAGATCAACAGATCAAACAGATCAAATGAAAGCTGTGAGGTTCTGGTGCCTATCACGAGATTTTCTTGATGCAAGGCATGGGCAGACATTTGTTGAAGCCTTGCATGAAGTGCCCTCCAATGCTCGAGGTGATGAGATGGCTGAGAAAACTCAGATCATGGGATCAACACCAGTGGAGGAGGAGCCTTTGTACGGCTTGACATACCTGCCCCGCAAGTTCAAGGCTGGTGCGACTGTGACATTCTGACTATAACCGTGCTGCATTTGTTACACCCACACACACACACACGTGTGTGTGTTCCAGGTGGCTGTCGCAATTCCCCCGAGCAATGATGTGGACTTGTTTGCTCATTGCGCAGGTGCTAGCTTTTGGAATCAACCAAGCGTAAGAGGCTGAGGGATTTACATGGTGAACTGTATATTTGTTTCACAGGCTTTATCGCCATCATTGAGAACGGGAAGCTCTTAGGCTGTCTGCCAGTTGGAATTGACGGGCAGCTTTTTGCACGGGAGAAAGGCGCACAGTGTTCTTGTCTTGTTTCACAGGCTTCAACGTGGCCGTTGGTGGTGGTTTGGGATTTACCCACAACAACCAGAAGACTCATCCCAGATTGGCAGATGTGATTGGCGACTGAGAAAGCATTCTTGCCAGTGTGTGCTGCTGCTGCTGCTGCTGCTGCTATCAGACTTGCAGACTTTTGAATCTCCTCGCCACCCGCAGTCAACTACAGCAAACCACTGCTGAGCTCAGGCTTTTGCAAGCCTGGTCAAGCGTGACTTGGCTCTAGGCACATTGATCAGTATCCCTGATGAAACCGTAGTCTTCAGGCACTGAAATCATGACTTTCCTGCATAGCAGCTCATTTAGTGTATGGCCGGTGGAAAGACTCTTTGCGTAAGGAAATATGTGTGCGAGTGCATCCTCACTGTTGCACGCGATTTCGGCGATCGCACCTTGGCCAGCAGATGCATCACGCTGAATTGAGTTAAAGGCACCAACATTCTAGGTCCTAGGTGTTCTCGACCGTGTTCACACCTTCCTTGTGTGGTGTTTCATCCCTTCGTAGTTGTACTGCCAAGTGACTCAGTAATAGTTTTGTAGTTCTTTGTGTTGCATTGTTTTTGTTTTTTTTTTGCATGTCTTGGACAGGTACTGGCCGCAAGCATGCTCGGGTGAAGTACACCGTGGAAGATTACGGTCCCGCTTGGTTCAAGGACACATGCTGAAGACAGAATTGAAGGTTGCCATTGCTATTAGGTTGGAGGCCATTGCTCTTACTCTCGATCCTTCAGGAGCAGGTGGAGGAACGCCTTGGCTATCCTCTTGAAGCAGTCAAGAGCTCATGATCCTTTCTTTTCACTGCCAAGTTTCAATGATTCTGCATGAATAGTTTCATGCAGGCAAAGCCTTACACCTTGGAGCACCGTGGAGACATGCATGGCTCTGCCATCCAATTTGTCTCATGCTGGTTTGGTAATTGTTGCCCAGAATTGTGTTTTTCAGTGAAAATGGTAGATTGGCAGCACATCCCTCATGACACTCACATGGGAGCAGCAATTGAGCATGGCAGGTTGGGTGAAAGCCAACGATGGAACTTGGAGCTGTGGCCTTTTGATTCCAATTGGTCGAGTCAAGGAGATTCGCTTAGCGAGTCGAGTCAAGAACGGGAGAAATTTGGATCTTGCGAGGAGAGCTCCCGGGTGTGCATTCGCAAGATCGCTGAGTTGCTGAAGGGTGAGGCGTGTTGGTCTAAAGGAAGGTAAAAACTTTTGAAGCCCGAGTGGCATGGGGGCCCCCTGAATTAAGTAGGTGCCTACAGTGCCTACTTAATTAATTAAGGGACTCGCTACTACTAGCAATAGGAATCTCCTAGCTAGGACGCAGGATACCGCACTATATAATGATTTGGTTCCTAGATTTTTAGGGGGAAAACATATTTTCAATACACGTACTTCAGTTCTCCCTTACATTCGTTTTTGAAGCTTTGTGGATTCAGTGCTCATGCCATATGTTGATCCTTTTTGGGGAGTTCGGACAAATTTCAGTTGTCGTGTTCCTTTGTGGATCCAGTAGTGCTCGAGCCAAATTGTCTGAAACAGGGTGGCTTCCGCATGACCTGCAACCAGTCTCTCGTCTTGGAGAACATCTCTGAGGCAAGGATTCACTGCCAAGAATGACTAAACCCCAAGCGCTTTTGTTCTCCACAACAGGCCAAGAAACCGATGGTGCAGAAGCTCCTGGATGAGTACAAGGTGATGCACAGCAAGGAGAAGTGTAAGCATCTTCCATTCACTGTGCAAGTCGTGCCACTAGTTCAATAGGGAAGCTTGGACTCTGAGCAGGAGACAACTGTGAGTGGACTGCGCCGCAACATGGTAGCATGTACCTTGCCCAGCCCAGACGTGAAGCTGCAGTATTAGATGTGAAACAACGACTGACGAGGAAGCAACTATTCAAACTATTCATTCCTTTGCAGGCGTTGCCTTGCCAACTTGTCCTTTGGCCTTCGCAGAGGCACTGATGGCATGTCTTCCCGAATCGGGCTCTGAACACCGTGTCAGTCTGCTCCAGTCTCAAGACACCAGGCAGAGCGCTACCTGCCTACCTTGGTGGAGCGCTTGGAGGCTGTTGCTGACAAATGCGGCATTCAACAGGAGCCAAAAAGGAAAAGTACTTTTTTAAAAGCTGATGTTTTTTGTAGAAGACTCATTTGATGGCTGCTCGTGAATCTCTCCCTCTCTCTCTATATGTATCTTTCTCTTTCTGTCATTTTGTGTTGTTTTGGACAGTGTTGGCTGGAGGACGATATCGTTATCCGAATGACAGGATGCCCCAACTCATGCGGAAGGTGTGCAGCTGTCATTGCAATGCCATTTATAGAGTTGCAGTGCAGCTTGGTTCTTCAGTTGTGATTGTCCACAGTAGTTGGACATTATGTTTAGGCTAGCTAAGGATGGTCCCTTCTCTGCTGCCAGCTCATGCCCTTGCTTCAATTTCAGTCTGAAACTCACAACCTTCCGCTTGACAGGCCGTCCATGGCAGAGATTGGCTTTATCGGCAAGGCCAGCTGCAAATTTCAGAGTTTGCTGCTTCATATGCATAGGGTATGTATGCAACAGTATATATATATATATGTATAACTGATGCTGTGTTGGATGTTTTCAGGCCCCTGGTACCTACAACATGTACATGGGCTTCGGCCTCAGTTTCTGGTTGCTTTCTGAATCCACCAGATTTGCGGCTTGGGAAGACCATGAGTCAGGTGCTGATTTCGTGGGCAAGCGCTTGAACACCCTCTACGCTGAATCCGTGAGCGAGGCTGAACATTTTGAATGATAAAAGGACGATTGCAGTGTGGACGGGCCAACTTCAGGATGAAATCATCAAGATTCTTACTCCAATCTTTGGCCAATACGCCAAGGCACGTTTGACCAGATGTTTGGATGGACGTGTTGGCAATTCAGTTTGCATTTGCCGTACTATTTTTTTGCAAGGAAAAGGAGAAGTCCGAGCGCTTTGGTGACTTTGTGGTTCGCAAAGGAATCATTAAAGAGACCCTTGGAGTCACTTGCAATGTGTTCAAAAGTCCTTGGTTCAGTTCCGTCATGAGCCCCTAGTAGCGTCCTTGCTCCCAGTAGCGATGCCAGGAGCCCC